CCTGGAATGGTGGCTTGTGCCTGTAGTCTGAGCTACCTGTGGCGCTGATGCAGGAGGATCACTTGAGTCCGGGACGTCAAGGCTGCAGTGAACCATGTTGGTGCCATTGCACTCCAGCCTGGGTGACAATGTGAGACCCTGTCTCAAAAAAAAAAGGGGGTATTCAGTGGAAACTCTCCCTCTTAAACCTGTCTTCTAGCCCTGCTCTTCCTCTCCCCACTCCAGGTAACCTTACTTCAGGAATATAACCATTCTTGTGTATCCTTCCAGGACTATTTTATGCATTTTCAAGCATATATGTACGTATCTATATATATAAAATTTTTCTACATAACCATGAACTAATGTTAATCTTTCACCAGAGATCAGTTAACATGCATGTAACTCTTTTTTCTAGTCTATTTTAAAATATTAGAATTTCTTAGTTGTAGATTTAGCCAGAAATTATTATTTGGCATGAGCTTTTTCTCTATTATCAAAATTTAGTATACTCCTTGCAGGGGATGGGTGTGTGAAGCAGGAGGTATGGGGATGCAGCAAAACACTGTAATCACTGAAGATCAGAGCTGTAGAAAGAAATGCTGGCGCTTCCTCAGCACACTATAAGCCTTATTTGTAATGACAAAACAAGACACCCAGGGCCTCTGAGATCATCTAAACACTGAAATAACCTTGAGTGTTAAGGGCTGTCAGGAGACTGGGGTCTTCACTTATTTCCTGATTTTGTTGCCTGTTCCCTAACTCTTCCAGTCCATTTTCCAGCCAGCAGCAAAAGTGATCTTTTAGAAATGTAAATCACCTGTTACTCCTGTTCTTCAAACCCTCCAGTGGTTTCCAATGACACTTAGAATGAAATCCAACTCACTCCAGGTCATAAAGACTTATCTGATCTAGCCCCTGCCTGGGTCCCTGTCCTCATCTCCTCCTTGCACAACAGAGTCCAGTTATGTGAGTATCACCTTGGGTCACTGCCTAGAACAGCCCAAGATCTTGCCTATCTAAAGGACTTTGCACTTGGTTCCCTCTGCATAGATTGCTGTTCCCTCCTATCCTATGGTTGATTTCATCCATTAGGTGTTACTATCTCAGAGAGGCTTTTCCTGACTTTCCTAACCAAGGTAGGTCTCCCCTGTGATTCTCTAAAATGCAGTGTTCATCTCCTTTCACAGTATTTAATGCAACCAGCAATTATTTACTTGTCTTCATCACTGGAAAGTGACTTTGTCTCAACCATTCTTGTATTTCTAGTGCCTAACACAGCACACGGCACAACCAGGCACTGGGCAAATACTGCTGAATAAATGAATGAGTGCAATGTGTTTTAAATTCGCTGAGCGTGATCTGTAAAAGGAGTGGCTTGCAGTAGCTCTGTGACCCTCACACTTATTTACACATCAGAATCACCTGGAGAGCTTTCAGAACATACAGATTCCTGAGCCCAGACCTGAGTCACTTCTGGGTGGGGTCCAGAGAGACAATATACTTAATAACTTCCCCTGAGGACTCTGATTCAAAACCAGATAATCTGTGATGCCCTATCTGGCTCTAACGTTCTGTCAATTATCCTACAGCTAGCTACATTCTTTTGGTATCATAGCTGGATTCTGATATGAGAAGCTGTTTAGGTGGCAGCAGTGGAACATCATTAAGAAAAAGTACAACTAAATCATCTCTGTGTCAAATGAGGCTAATTACACCAGTAAACCCTCCCTGTCAGCATATGGATAAAATGCACAGTAGAAGCAGCTGGGAGAGATTTATCCACTTCCTACGCTCATTCAGCAAGATGCAAGTCAGATGAAGGAGCACTCCTTACAGAAATTCCTAAATCAGCTTGATCATCAAAAGCATTTTGATCACATTAAAATGAGTGGAATTCATCAGAAGAGAATTTGAATCTAAAAGCTTATTGCTTGGGGGAGTTTCATATTTATATGCAAATAGTAGTTTTCTATTTTCTTTATACACAATTCCACCTAGAAGTCTCTCAGTTTCTTTCTGTAAAAGCAACAAGATTTTTGAAAGCTCTTTTGTTTATTGCCGTTAATATAATGGTTTCTATCTTAAAAATGGCTTTTAAAATGTAGTACATGTAAATGTACTACCTTATGTAAACATACTGCGTTTTATCATTGCCTTTGTTTTTTTTTAAGTATTTCTGCAGTTATCCATGAGTTATGAGAATAATACTGTTGAACATTTATTGATGGTTAGTCTGTGCCATGTACCATCCTACTCTATATACATCTATAGATATAGATATAAATAAAACCTCATATATATGTATAAAACCTCATTAATTTTCTCAATAATTGCATATGGTAGACACTATTATCAGATATGGGCTAAGTTGCTCAGTATCACATGACTTAGAAATGCAGCTGACACTGAAATCCAGGTATACTGATTCCAGAGCCGCCTCTTTAATATTTAGCTCTGTATTTCCTGAAGTATGAATTATTTTAAGGTTGGGGAGGGTTGGGTTAAAAAATTGGTTTCTTTGGTGTAGGATTTCTCAGAGTTTCTCAAAGTTAATTGTGCTTTACAAGTATCTAAAACACAAATGCAGAATATAACATTTCCCAAGCCTCCCTGAACAAAATGTTTTTGTTTTTTTTTTTTTTTTTTTTTTGGGTTTTTTTTGCTGCGTCTCTTTAGATCATTGTTCTGCAAAGAAAAATCTATGAAATGATGGTCCACAAATCAGTGGTCTACAAAGTGGTCTACCTCCATGCCCACCAAGGCTAACTCTTCCCCCTTTTACAGGGACTAAAAGGAAGACCTGGCCAGGCATGGTGGCTCATGCCTGTAATCCCAGCAGTTTGGAAGGCCGAGGTGGGCAGATCACCTGAGGTCAGGAGTTCAAGACCAGCCTGGCCAACAAGGTGAAACCCCAGTCTCTACTAAAAATACAAAAATTCACCAAGTGTGGTGGTACACGCCTGTAGTCTCAGCTACTGGGCAGGCTGAGGCACAAGAATCACTTGAACCCAGCAGGGAGAGGTTGCAGTGAACTGAGATCATACCACTGCACTCCAGCCCAGGCAGTAGAGTGAGACTCAGTCTCAAAAAAAAAAAGACCTGATAGGGGAGAGGCCAAGGATAAGTTGCCAGTACATACCTGTGTCCTTCGAAAATTCTCATTCAAGTAGATTGGAAATACCTTTCCAGGGCATTAATTATGTATGAAAAGCCTTTCAACCTGGAGTGCTCAAGATAAAACACTGGGGTAGAAAGAAAATATTTTAACTTCCATTTCAAACTCACACTTGATTTTTTTTTCCTTTTTCACAAATTTTATCAATAAAATATCCTTGGACAGATACACAAGAAACTAAAATCCTTGGATACTTTTGGAGAAAGGAAAGGGATATCTCAAGTTTCAAACTTACATATATATGAAATGTTGGAATGGTAACACGTATATCTGTTTGTTTGTTTTTATTTATTTATTTTGAGATGGAGTCTTGCTCTGCCACCCAGGCTGGAGTGCAGTTGTGTGATCTCGGCTCACTGCAACCTCCGCCTCAGCCTCCTGGGTAGCTGGGACTACAGGTGCCCGCCACCATGCCTGGCTAATTTTTGTATTTTTAGTCGAGATAGAGTTTTGCTATATTGGCCAGGCTGATCTTGAACTCTTGACCTCAGGTGATCTTCCCGCCTCGACCTCCCAAAGTGCTGGGAATACAGACATGAGCCACAGCGCCCAGTCAACATGTATAGTATCTGTAAATATTTAATATACATAGATTGGAGATGGGTCCTAGTAGGTTGGTGCAAAAGTAATTGTGGTTTTTGCTGTTACTTTAATTTACATATAAAAAGTATTTAATTTCTTCATTTTCTTTGACCTAGCAATTTCACTTTTTGGAATTTTTTCAATTTACTCTAAGGAAATAAACTTGTGTGTTTATAAACGATTTAGCTATAGGGATATTTATTAAAGAACTATTTGTGCTTGTGAGAATTGAAAACATTCTAAACATCCAACAATTGAGGATTGGTTATATAAATTATGGTGCATCCATATAAAGAATCCTAACAAATGGCAATAAAAAAGTATTTAGTAGTAGAGTACACAGTTGCCTAGAAAAAAAGAATCCTGTCTTTGTCAGTCAAAAAAACAGATGAGAAAAAATGATAGAGTTTGTATGCTTTAAAGAAAGGACTGGAATGAAAAAACTGAAATGTTGATAGTGGTAGCTTCACAGTGAGGTAAGGGGAAAATTTTATTCTCTGCCTTCCTATGTTTTCCTAACTCTTGTACAATGAATGTGTATTTCTGAATAAGAATATATTTACGGGCCAGGCACAGTGGCTCATGCCTGTAATCCCAGAACTTTGGGAGGCTGAGGCAGATGGACTGCGTGAACTCAGAAATTCAAGACCAGCCTGTGCAACATGGCAAAACCCCGTCTCTACAAAAAATACAAAAATTAGCTGGGTGTAGTGGTGCCTACCTGTGGTCCCAGCTACTCAGGAGGCTTGAGCCTGGGAGGCAGAGGTTGCGGTGAGCTGAGATCGCAGCACTGCACTCCAGCCTGGGTGACAAAGCTAGACCATGTCTTAAAGATATATATAATAAAACTTGTGTATCATATATTCTTGTACCCTTTGTCACACAAATAGCATGCAAAACACACTCTTTTGTACTTTGCCATATTGTGTAAACTTCCACACATGCCATTTTACCCATGTAGTGTATCTGAGGATACATTTCTCAAAGTGGAGTTGCTGGGTCAAAGGAAATGGACATTTGTAATTTGGACAAATGTTGCATATTGCCCCTTCAGGGTTTGAAAAAAAATCTTCTCATGGTTTCTTTTAGTATATTAGTGGTCTGGATTTTTTTTTTTTTAACATTTCACTTTAGATCCATTTTCATTGATATTGGCTTAATGGATACTTAATAAGAAAAGCAAATAATTTAAAATATTAAACTCACTTTTAGTGGAAATTCAAGTGCTGGTTGTCCCCATCTGTTAGATCACAGGATCTAGATGCAAATAGGACATCTTGCAAAGGTTCGGCTTACACAGAGGATGAATGACATAGCAAGACCTCTGCTCCACCGTACACTACTTTATTTGCTTCCACAGTCAACTTGTAGTGAAGAGGCAGACCCTAAGAGTTTGATTTCTACCTTCAAGTGAATTCTTCACATCAAAAAGAATTCAGGTTGCCGGTTGGATTTCCCTTCTGAAATATTGTAAGTTGCTTTAATTTAAAAAAAAAAAAACAAGTGGAATCCCCTGGAGTATTGGGGTATATAGGTACGAGCTGCATGAATTTGTGTGTGGCAACATGATGGCATATAGGAAGATAATTAATTTTATTCCTGCAGAGATTCTGTGGTCTCTGCTAGTCTCTGGCAAACATAGCAGCTGTACTGAAATGTCAGATGGATTTGCACAGCTGACTCAAGTTGCCTAAAAGAGAGCAGCATAGTAGTTCCATAAATTGACCCCAACCCGCCAAGCCCTGCTTAATATAGATCCGGCAAGAGCTTAGCTGTGATCACTCCTAGCTGCTCAGCAAACCACTGAGGTTCCTGGGGAAAAAAAAAAATATCTCAAGGGTGTGTTAACTTGGGACACTTGTTAACTTGGGGACCTTCTTGAGGCTTTTTTTTCTTTCTTTTTAAAAATCATCTTTGATTATTCTTTTCTAGTAAAATAATATTTAGAAAAAATAATGTCGGAGCACAGCAGAAATTCAGATCAAGAAGAACTTCTCGATGAGGAGATTAATGAAGATGAAATCTTGGCCAACTTGTCCGCTGAAGAACTGAAAGAACTGCAGTCGGAAATGGAAGTCATGGCCCCTGACCCCAGCCTTCCCGTGGGAATGATTCAGAAAGATCAAACTGACAAGCCACCGACAGGAAACTTCAATCATAAATCTCTTGTTGATTATATGTATTGGGAAAAGGCATCCAGGCGCATGTTGGAAGACGAACGAGTTCCTGTCACCTTTGTGAAATCCGAGGTAACCAGAGATTTGTGTACAACAGAGAAATGGCTGCCTGGGCTGGGCTGTTAGGTGTCCCTTTTGTAACTGTGATTTCTCAGGACTCCAGGGTTTCGTTCTGCTTTGTTTCTGCCAATATCTAGATTAAACCATAATATTTAATCCTACTCCAGACTGGAACTTTCTGAAACACTTACATTTATATTTCCAAGGGGAAAATTGGGTGATTTCTTGCAAATGTCTCTTTTTAAAAATTGCTGTCAGGTTTGCTGTGTCAGAAAGCCTGTGTTCTATTGCCACGATACTTGGTTTCTTAACTCATAACCCAGGCAGTTGTCCTTAACTCTCTCTTTCTTTTTTATTGCAGGCCCCTTTGAGAAACTAATGACAGTTCTGTAGCCTCTGTCTCTCTGGCACATCCAAACATATGCAGTGTTCTGCACACAGTGTCAAACATTTCAGTCCTCCTGAAGTCTGGCCACACACCCTGCAGTTAAACCAAGTCGAATAACCAGAAAATGTCTTATATTATTACTATGTATTGGCTGTCAGTGACAACATTTAAAAATAGATGGCTATTAAGTGGTTTTTGAAGCTAGTTCTTCACTTTCTAAAATCTGAAACCTAGAATTGTTGACTCTTCAAACTTACTGTGCATGAGTATAATTTTTTTTTTAATGTTCCACTTGAAAATGACTTAACAAAAAGAGTACAGAGGTGCCTCCTAGGTAAAGTCTCTTTAGGTTATGCCTGTTGACAAAGACACATCTTGTTAAATTACTACGCTGGCTGTAATTAAGGAAAGGTGTCAATTGGTTTTACAGTCAGGAGAGTTTAAACATGTACTAAGATTAAGAAAAGAAACAGCTGGATTGATCAGGTTAGAGTTCATGATACAATTTGCAGATTTTTTACAACTGGAGGTCAATGGATTAAAAGCCGATTCAGTGTCGGGGGTAAAAATGAGTACTTGCAACATGTTTTTTCTTCCTCTGGTATAACTTAAACAGCTTGATAGTTGGCTCCCCCTTCTGGTCAAGATGAGAAATGCAGTGGTGAAGACTTCAGGTGGTTAATGTGACTTGTCACTGTCTCTTCCGACCTAGTTATGAGCATGAAATTTTTGCTCAGATGAACCTATGTCTCAACTTGCTGTACTGGCTTTCAAAATGATACCTATGAGGCACACATATTGCATAGAAAAGCATTATAATTGATGTGCAAGAATCTAATACACATTATTGATAAAAGGTCCATTTTATTTCCCAGACTAAGCAATTATTTCTCAATGTCTGCATAATCCTGTTCCATCTTACAGCTGGCTCTGGTTCCTAGGCACTTTCTTTCAAAAGAAACCGGGATAGTAAACTTGTCCCAGACAGAGTAGCCATGGCAGTTTTCAAAGAACTGAAAAAATACAATCAAAATTGAGGTTTTAAATATACATATATATATATATTCAAAATTAAAATTGAGGTTTTTAAATATACATATATTCCAAAATATCAAACTGATCTAATTTTCCATACATTATGTTATGTTCTCAGAGGAAGTTCATGTACATTCTACACTAGATTAGTAGACATTGTAGGAATGTTAATTTTAGGGCAATAATTTCATTATTCCAATATATTATAAATATATTAGAATAATAAGGAAATTATTGCCCTGACTCAGGACTGTTGAGTACTAGATGCCTATTTGGCATAAAAAAATCCAGGCTTCAATGTATCGATGAACAATTCTATCAGGTTTTCAAAACAATTTTTAACTGCTTCTGAAATTAAACACCATTAAAAAACAGAATATTAAAACAAAATTAATAAGGTTTCATTTTAATATTGTTATTTATGGGATGGGATAACCACCCATTTTTAGCAATCAGCTCTTTAAATAAGCATTATTTAAAATAGCAACCAGCTCATTTAAACAAGTATTTTTCTTATCTCCAGTAGCTGATGCTCTACTTCGTATTTCTTCTCTGCTATGTATTCTAATCCTCATAAACCTCTCTTGTAGGAAAAGACTCAAGAAGAGCATGAAGAAATAGACAAACGTAATAAAAATATGGCCCAGTATTTAAAAGAAAAGCTCAATAATGAAATAGTTGCGAATAAAAGAGAATCAAAGGGCAGCAGCAATGTCCAAGAAACAGATGAAGAAGATGAAGAAGAAGAAGAAGATGGTGATGAAGGAGAAGATGATGGTGAAGACAGTGAAAAAACAAGCAGAGAAGAGGAAGGCAAAGCAAAGGAACAAATTAGAAATTGTGAGAACAACTGCCAGCAGGTAACTGACAAAGCATTCAAAGAACAGAGAGACAGACCAGAGGCCCAAGAACAAAGTGAGAAAAAAATATCAAAATTAGATCCTAAGAAGTTAGCTCTAGATACCAGCTTTTTGAAGGTAAGTGCAAGGCCTTCAGGAAACCAGACAGACCTGGATGGGAGCTTGAGGAGAGTTAGAAAAAATGATCCTGACATGAAGGAACTCAACCTGAACAACATTGAAAACATCCCCAAAGAAATGTTACTGGACTTTGTCAATGCAATGAAGAAAAACAAGCACATCAGAACATTCAGTTTAGCCAATGTGGGTGCAGATGAGAATGTAGCATTTGCCTTGGCTAACATGTTGCGTGAAAATAGAAGCATCACCACTCTCAACATCGAGTCTAATTTCATCACAGGTAAAGGGATTGTGGCCATCATGAGGTGTCTCCAGTTTAATGAGACGCTAACTGAGCTTCGGTTTCACAATCAGAGGCACATGTTGGGTCACCATGCTGAAATGGAAATAGCCAGGCTTTTGAAGGCAAACAGCACTCTCCTGAAGATGGGCTACCATTTTGAGCTTCCGGGTCCCAGAATGGTGGTCACTAATCTGCTCACCAGGAATCAGGATAAACAAAGGCAGAAACGACAGGAGGAGCAAAAACAGCAGCAACTCAAGGAACAGAAGAAGCTGATAGCCATGTTAGAGAATGGGTTGGGGCTGCCCCCTGGGATGTGGGAGATGTTGGGAGGACCCATGCCAGATTCCAGAATGCAGGAGTTCTTCCAGCCACCGCCACCTCGGCCTCCCAACCCCCAAAACGTCCCCTTCAGTCAACACAGTGAAATGATGAAAAAGCCATCACAGGCGCCGCAGTACAGGACAGACCCTGACTCCTTCCGGGTGGTGAAGCTGAAGAGAATCCAGCGCAAATCTCGGATGCCGGAAGCCAGAGAACCACCCGAGAAAACCAACCTCAAAGATGTCATCAAAACACTCAAGCCAGTGCCGAGAAACAGGCCACCCCCATTGGTGGAAATCACTCCCAGAGATCAGCTGCTAAACGACATTCGTCACAGCAATGTCGCCTATCTTAAACCTGTAAGTAGACGGAGGGAGAAACGGTGACTGAGCACCCTCCATAGAAAATGCATCCCAACTTTATTCCCTATTTGTTTTAACGTAAGGGGATACTCACTAATTGAGACCAACGGGGGGACGCCAATGAGCATTACCAATAGAACTAAATTACTGTTACCTCTAAGGATGTATACCTGTAGCACCCCATATCTAGGTACGCCTATATGACTTCTGTAACAATAATATTAGCAGCTAATATTTAGGGAGCATTTACTACAGGCTGGAGTCGTTATATGAATTAACTCATGTAATCATCTTACCAACCCTATAAGGTCTAAGTACTGTTATTCTCCCCATTTAATAAAAAGGATACTGAAACTTAGAGAATTTAATAACATGTGGAGGAGATACAGCTAGGAAGTGGTAGAACTGACATTGAAAGCCGGTTCTGAGTCCAGAATCAAGCTTTAATTCACCTCATTCTTCTGACCTCTTCAAGTGCATATTCAAAAGAACACCATTCCAGCCACAATGGAGCTGACACTCAGAGATCCCCAGGAAGCTATAGTGAGGAATAAATAAGAATGAGGCCAGGCCGGGTGCATTGGCTCACGCCTGTAATTTCAGCACTTTGGGAGGCCTAAGCAGGTGGATCACGAGGTCAAGAGATTGAGATCATCCTGGCCAACGTGGTGAAACCCCATCTCTACTAAAAATACAAAAATTATCTGGGCTTGGTGGCAGGCACCTGTAGTCCCAGCTACTCGGGAGGCTGACGCAGGAGAATTGCTTGAACCTGGGAGGTGGAGGTTGCAGTGAGCCGAAATTGTGCCACTGCACTCCAGCCTGGTGACAGAGCAAGACTCTGTCTCAAAAAAGAAAAAAAAAAAAAAAGGCCAAATTGGGCCAATAGTAGATAATTGAATGCTTCTAAAATGCATAGAAACAGTTCTTTTTAGTAGATGAAGAGAGACTGTCTGAAATTACATTTGTAGTGCTCGCTTTTTAGGCAGATAAATGATGAACTTCAGGTTGGTATCACCGTGAATCCATGGGGTTTTAAAATCACTGTTTCAGTTTAATATTTACCATGATTCACAATTACTGCTGAGTGGAAAGGTTATTTTCCTTGCAACTTAAGTTGCAGAAATAAAAATGTTTTGGTCATTATGATGATGGCATTTATTGAGGTTGAAAGATGTGTTCGGTGGCCACGGGAGATTGATAATGAACTATATTATTTTAAAATCTTGTGTAATATAGCCATGAGATTATGTTGACAGAATAGTCAGTATATTATTTTATTACACAGATTTGTGTTTTTTAAAGACATGTTGAATTTTTATGCATGCTTGCTCTTTTTCTGCTTTAAAGAGCTTGATATTCTGAAATAATTGCTAGTCTTTCACATATATACATATGTATGGTCCTTATTCCCAACTCCTGGAATGGAGAATTATCAATAGCCCATTCTTCTGAATCAAAGCTGACTTTCATCTATGGTTTAGAGAGGCTCTGATTCTTCCTGGAGCAGTGGCCAGGTTGAGATCACCGGAGGTCACATGAGGTCAGACAATGGTTCTTTGCCCGCCCTTGGGCACAGCATCAAGACTTTCTGCACCTGCTCTTCTCTAGACAGCCAGAACTCCCCTGGGAGTGAATTGGGGTGTTGTTTGAGAGAAACTAGTTCTACCACTTTTCCAGTAACTAGTCATTGGCAAAGAATATTCAAGCCACCTTGGTGGCTGTACGTTCAGAAAAGAACAGTCTGAAAAGAACGATGAGATGTCTTTTAAAAAAATCTGTGTTAAAGGTGGCATGTAAATTCAGAGTAGAAGAGGGAATGAAGTTCAAAAGAGCATCTGAACCAACTCCCTGACTTCTGAGTACTCTGCTGAGCAAATCCATTTTCCCTGGGTCAATTCCATTCTATCCATTCACTTATTTGTTAATCTAACAAATATCTATGTCAGGCAGGTGAGAAGGACTGGGGATATAGTGGTGAGTAAGTCAGGTTCAGTCTCGACCTCACACACAGCCTACAGTGTAGGTTTAATTTTTCAGCTCCTCTGCCTTTTACTGAACTGAGAACACTACAGTTTTGGGTCTAGGGTCTACAACAAAAGACACTGAAATAAATTCATGGTGATAATTGCAAGAATGAAACACCCTACCAAGCACTGCATTTTTCGTATTTTAATTCACAACTGCTACCAATTTTCAGTGTATTTGGTGGTGGTGGTTTAAAAAATTTAGTCTAAGAAAAACATGCTGCAAAGTGAACTCTGACATGTTTTTTGAATGACAATCTTGCATATCTCCCTAGGCTTTGAAATGGCTTCATTTATTCTGAAGGACGGGCAATTTCTCCTGCCTTCAGTTGCCTGGCTTGGCCTGTGACAGGCATCTGTTTGCATGTGTCTCAGTTACAAAATATCACACAACTTCATCTATTTGGTCCTGGAAAATGCGCAGCAAGAAAAATATGAAAGTGCCTCATTGCAGTAATGAAAATTTGCTTCACTAGTATCAATTTGCTTCCCAGTACTCTGTTTCTGTGCCTTTCTGCATGTACTATAAATTTCTGCTTTAAAGCCAAAACATAGTATAATCTTTTAAAATATATTTTAATTGTTTTCTTTTTATTTTGAGGTCATTTTAGACTTACAGAAGGTCAAAAGTAGTACAAAGAATTCCTGCATACCATCTCACTTTACCACATTTGCTTACTTATCTTTCTTTAAAAGCTATTTTAAGAGGCAATACATCTGTGTGTGTCGTATCAACAGGGCACATGACTCAATGGAGGTAATAATAGCATGGATAGCTATGATGTGTTCACACTTGGGTCTCCAGCCAGCTATTGTAAAACACCATCAAATTTAAGATGCATTCTGATTTCAGAGCTGTTGAAATATCCCAAAATATACATCTTAAGACTCAAAATACAATAAACACTGTAAATGGTAATGTCACAAAATCCCAGCAGAAAGGGATGGTTTTACCCAATCAAATGAGACAAGACAATGTTCACTTGATAGAGGTGAAATGAAATGAAGGGTTTTGGGGGTTTGGGACAGATGCCCTCCAAATCCCTGGGTTTTCAAAACTGAGGTTAAAATTAAAACACAGTTTTGAAATCTTGTGGAGGGGTGTGTGTGTGTGTGTGTGTGATGTTCCTAATGAGAACATTGTTCAGAAACAAACTTTTTTCTTAGAAAAGTTTTTTGTGTGTGTGTTTTTGTTTATGAGACAGGGTCTCTCTCTATCACCCAGGCTGGAGTGCAGTAGCTCAATTACGGCTCACTGTAGCCTCAACCGCCAGGGCTCAAGTGATCCTCCCACCTCAGACTCCTGAGTAGCTGGGACCACACATGCATGCCACCATTCCTGGCTAATTTTTTTTTTTTTTTAATTTGTAGAGATGAGATCTCACTATGTTGCCCAGGCTGGTCTCAAACTCTTGAGCTCAAGTGATCCTTCTGCTTCGGCCTCCCAAAGTGCTGGGATTACAGGCCTCAGCCACCATGCCCGACAGAAAAAAAAATTTTTATTGTAGTTACTGGCTGGGAACGGTAGTTCATACCTGTAATCTCAACGCTTTGGGAGGCCAAGGCAGGAGGATTGCTTGAGCCCAGGAATTCAAGACCAACATGAGCAACAAAACAAAGTGAGATCCTGTTTCTACAAAAAATTTTTAAAAGTTAGCCTGGTGTGATGGCATGCACCTGTGGTACCAGCTACACAGGAGGCTGAGGCAGGAGGATCACTTGAGCCCAGGAAGTCAAGGCTGCAGTGAGCCATGTTTGTGCCACTGCACTACAGCCTGGGCAACAGAGTGAAACCCTCTGTCAAAAATAAAAGTAGTTATTTTCCTTCTAGATTTGGAAATATTATTTTTGTACTTGATAGAGCACATGTATTTTAAAATTGTTTTTTAGGCTGGATGTGGTGGCTCATGCCTGTAATCCCAGTACTTTAGGAGGTCGATCACTTGAGGCCAGGAGTTTGAGACCAACCTGGCCGATGTGGTGAAACCCTGTCTCTACTAAAAATACAAAAATATTCGGGCGTGGTGGCGCTCGCCTGTAATTCCAGCTACTCAGGAGGCCGAGGTACAAGAATCACTAGAACCCGGGGGCTGGAGGTTGCAGTGAGCTGAGATGGTGCCACTGCACTCCAGCCTGGGCAACAGAGCGAGATTCTATCTCAAAAAAATAAAATTAAAAAGTCTTTTTTAAAAAATTAATGCTTATTCTCTCCCTACCCCATGCTTCTGGCCTAGGATACCTGAAATGAAGTTGCTGGCAAAAAATAAAGGAAAATCCATATACTTGCTTTGCTCAAATGCTTCCTCCTCTGAGAAATTACCCATTCAATTCGGTTTAAAAGAAATTTACTCCCTGGGCCAGGTATTGAAAACTGGTAAAGCATGAGGTCAGATCTGCAGGCCCATTTTATTTGACTTGGGTATCATTGTGTAAGTTTTTTGAATGCCACATGCAAAAAAATCCAGATATCTAGCGCCACTTGGAGCATCAGATCTGGCCACACCGCACTGGCATGGAAACAATCAGCTGTTTCTGTGCATTGGTTTCACCCTTGAGAATGCCCATGGACCCTCTAGTTTTTCTCTTTTGCCCTTACTGCTTTGCACCTGGCATGCTTCCCTCATTTACATGATTTATTTGGCTTCTGTAGAATTTTTTTAGTTTGCTCTTGTTGTTTTTAGCTATGTTTTTAAGATTCTTTGTCTTATCTAACAAACTGAATTTATTAGATAATGACTAAATCATTTCCCTCTGAGTTAATAAAGCTGAGTCAGTATGATAGCACAAAGACATTAGGCTGGTGTAGGCCTATCCCTCCCTGACAAATGTGCGATATTCTTTCATCTTCAAAAATGTTGTGGTCTGCTCACTCCTATCATCTCAAATGAGTATTTGTACTTTTCACTGAGATAAAATCCCATTTGCAGCAACTGTCTAATTCACTGAGGCCAGCTGCATTTTGTATCATATCCAAGCTTCTGTGCCAATCACGCAAGATTACTATTTTAACATTCACTCAATTTCACTTCAGGCTTACTCACGTATATCTGGACTGCTCCCATCCAGTTGGCTAAAGCTATTGCTAAACTTTCCTCCAGAAAGACTTCAGTATAAAAATGTCATGAGCGGCCTTAGTTAATCAACAGACTCCACGACACATTAGGAGTTGTTATGGTTACAGAATTGAAGTTTACAAACCCTTGAGCATTCATCTTCATTGCTGGCCATTTCTTCTTTGCCACATTTATAAAATCTTCTTTCTCTTTAACCAGGTTCTCTATATTCTATCCTTTTGTAATTTTCTCCTCTTTCCCATCACATAATGGGAAATTTTCTTCTCTTTCTCTTGTCACATAATCTAGAACAATCCCCAAATCTCCCTTTCCCTTTAGATCACTCAGGGTTTTCTTAGCACATTCAATCTGTCCCCAGACCAAGCTGCTCATTTTTAGGCCTTTTGGTGGTTTCTAGTTCCCAGTTGTCTGTCTTATCTGCATTCTGTCACGCATTCAGGTCTAAAACTCCAGGGTTATCTTCAACTCCTTTTTTCCCTTCGACCCCTTCTCCCCCATTTTTGGGACCTCCAATAAAGAAACTAGGATGATCTATAAGAGCCAAGGCCAAACATAGATCATAGCTTTGGAAATGTTACAATTCTTATAAAGGGAGCCTCCATAGGAAAAAAGGAATGTAACATTTCAAGCTCATCAAGAGCATGTATAATCCAGGAATTACGTAAACCAGAATTGCTTGCCTTTAAAGCGTAGTGGGGAAAAAAGGTCTTTTATATACTTTTCTAAAGTCTATATAGTGATTCTCAAATGTTATTATGGATCAAAATCACCCAAAGGGCCAAATACAGATTACTGAGTCCACTGACAGAGTCTCTGATTTAGTAGGTCTTGGATGGGGTCTAAGAATTTGCATTTCTGACAAATTCCCTGGTAATGCTGTTGCTGCTGCTTATTCCGGGACCACATTTGACAACCATGACTCTGATATCTATGGTAAACCATGTCTGCTGCTATCTTCCCTGAAGGGCCTTGCTTTCCTGCCTCTGTACCACCCTTTGCCTCTAATTACCTTTTCTTCTATCTCTATCTGTTAGAATCTGTCCAATTTCCAAGGCTTGACTCAAATGCTACTTCTTACAACAAAACATCAGGAGTACTCTGCCTGTGTATTTCCATTACCCTTTGTCCACACTTCTTTTATGGCACCTCCTACATTGTGCTTCAGGTTGACAGCCCTTCTGGCCACAGTGTACTCTCCTACAGGATTCTGAGTTCTTCAAAGCAGGTCTTGCTCATCTCTATCCTGGACACCCACTGAGGTGTTGGTCCAGAGCAGGAACTTAATACAGGCAGACCAAATTAAATAGCCTGTGCTGAAACCAACCTTCCCACCCACCCTGCCTCCCAGCCTCTGAGTGTATGCATATGTGCACCCTGTGTAATGCTACACACACACAAGCACACTAGACATACTTTCTTTAAAAACTAACAAGCGAAGGGGGAAAAGGCCCTCTAACAATAACACAAGTTGATCCTCTTCTGTTTGTAAGTTTTACATTTTTATAACATCATGGCTAGCTATTTTTATGATTTCTATCTTTTGTATTCTGCTTAGAAATGGCTTCTTTGAAAATGATTAAAATGTGTGCCTGCCTTTTCATGCAACTTTTATAGTTTTCGGTTTTTAAAAAAAAATTTCATATTATGGATCGATTAAAGGGTTAATTTTTAAAGTCAGTAGAAAGCAAAAAGGCTGTTTTATTATTTCTTTTCCAAATAGTTAACCAGTGATCATTTCGTGACTCATTCCTCTTTTCCCCAGTGATCTGAACTACCAGCTTGGTCATATTTTAAATAAGTAAATATGTGTCTGGGTTTCCTATGCTGGGTCAGTGCCACATTTTCTTTTTCAAATATTATTCTGGGCTGGGCATGGTGGCTCACGCCTGTAATACCAGTACTTTGGGAGGAAAAGGCAAGAGGATCAATTGAAGCCAGGAGGGTCTGGCTGCATGAGTTATTGCACCACTGCACTCCAGCCTGGGCAATAGTGAGATCCCCATCTCTCTAAATAATTTAATTTTTTAAAAATTTAAAATATTATTTTGGAACTCTTCCATGCATATATAAACAAATACAGGGAATAACTTACATAAAATGCTTTTTCCATTCCATAATACAAAGAACACACTGTTTTAACTATTTATTGCAGCTTTACAGTTATTTTAAATACCTGACTCATGGTTTCTCTTAACTACTGGTGTTCTCCGTGGGAGAGCCCTGCTGGGTGCAGTCACACCCCTCTCTTCTCAAAGCTTGGCACAAGGGAGGTACAGGGTCATAAGCCATGGACGTCCTCTTGGCTTGAAGGCTGGTAGGCAGCCACACATCAAAGGTCCTTTCTGGTGGGCACGATGCTGGAAAAACACTCCTAGCCAAAGATTGTGGGCCAAGAACTGGCTGCAAGAGGAGCCATAGCAGATGACCAAAATGGTTCATCACACTGGCAGGTGGACATTAGCAAAACAGGGAGAAACATTCCTAGTCATTGTTAAACAAATGCCCAGGGGACACTGGGCATCTTCAGTGTTCTCTGGAAGGTACATACATGATAGATGAGTTACTTTCTTAAGATACAATGACAATTGAAACCCTTTAAAAACTTGCCTTGTCCGTAAGGTTTTCCTATGAGGCAGAAGTATGAAGTGGGTTTGCAGTGTTAGACTTCTATTGTTGTTTCATAATTTTTTTTTTGCCCTGGGGGATGCTTTACACACACATATATATATATAATTTTTTTTTTTTTTTTGAGATGGTGTCTCTGTCGCCCAGGCTGGAATGCAGTGGCGGGATCCCAGCTCAAGGCAACCTCCGCCTCCCAGGTTCAAGCAATTCTCCTGCCTCAGCCTCCTGAGTAGCTGGAATTACAGGCATGTGCCACCATGCCCAGCTAAATTTTATATTTGTAGTAAAGACAGGGTTTCACCATGTTGGCCAGGCTTGTCTTGAACTCCTGACCTCAGGTGAACCACCTACCTCGGCCTCCAAAGTGCTGGAATTACAGGCATCAGTCACTGCACCTAGCCTTGTTATAAAACTCTTTTAAGAAAATCAGGTGGCTGGGTACTGTGGCTTACACCTGTAATCCCAGCACTTTGGGAGGCCAAGGTGGGCAGATCACCTGAGGTCAGGAGTTCACGACAAGCTTGGCTAACATGGTAAAACCCCGTCTCTACTAAAAATACAAGAATTAGCTGGGTATGGTGGCACGCATCTGTAATCCCAGCTACTTGGGAGGCTGAGTCAGGAGAATCACTTGAACCTAGGAGGCAGAGGTTGCCTTATGGGTCTCACTTTGTTGTTCAAGCTGGTCTTGAACTTCTGGTCTCAAGTAATTCTCCCATCTCAATCTCCTGAGTAGCCAGGATTACAGGTGCATGCCACCTTGCCAGGCTTATATTTCATGTTTAAACATTTCTGACCATCAGATTAGGAGTGTGCTTCAAAGAGGAAAGACTTTTTTAAAAAAGAACATATATTTTATATTCTTATAGTGATATTTTTACAGACAGTATATAATAATGAGCACTGAAATCAGGCAGACCTGGCTCAAATCTTGCTCTGCCACTTTCTAGCTGTGTGATCTTAGGCAAGTTACTGTCTTCTCTGAGCCATTTCCCTCCTTACAAGGCTTTTGTAGGATGTAATGAGATAGTGTTTTAAAAATTAGTGGTAGGTTGTTGAAACCCCGTCTCTACTAATAGTACAAAAATTAGCTGGGTGTGGTGGCGCTCGCCTGTAGTCCTAGCTACTCAGGAGGCTGAGGCAGGAGAATTGCTTGAACCCAGGAGGCGGAGGTTGCAGTGAGCCGAGATCGTGCCACTGCACTCCAGCCTGGCAACAGAGCAAGACTCTGTCTTAGAGAGAAAAAAAAAGTGTTAGGCTGGGCACTCATGCCTGTAATCTCAGCACTTTGGGAGTCCAAGGCAGGTGAATCACTTGAGGCCAGGAGTTTGAGACCATCCTGGCCAACATGGTGAAACCCTGTCTCTACTAAAAATACAAAAATTAGCTGGGCATGGTGGCACATGCCTGTAATCCCAGCAACTTGGGAGGCTGAGGCAGGAGAATCGCTTGAACCCAGGAGGTGGAGGTTGCAGTGAGCCAAGATGGTGCCACTGCGCTCCAGCCTGGGAGACAGACTGAGACTCCATCTCAAAAAAAAAAAAAAAAAAAAAAAAAGCGTTAACATGGACTACTCACTTGTGTAATAGCCTTGTGAATTAGATATTGTTATTATCATTTTACAGCTGAGAAAACTGATGCCCAACACCACATAACTAGTACCTGCTAGTGCCAGTCTTTGAACCCAGGCCAACTTGGGCACCTGCCTTCTTATTTCCATGATGTACTTTGCCATGTGCTCAAAGCCCTTGGAACAGTCCTTGGCATTAGTAAATGTCCAATAAATGGTGGTTAGGACTGTTGTTTTATCTTGACTTTGGGGGTGCTTTGGCTGGAATTTCAAATCTATTCTGTATCTTTTAAGGCATGTACATTTTGTAATTTTTGCTGTAAAGCTCTTAAATTTCCAGGATTAATTTCCTACGTTTCTTCAAATGCTTAAATCGCAGGTGCAACTGCCAAAAGAACTGGCGTAAGAGGCAACAGAGTCATCTAGAAGAACAAGAAATGGGGATGGTGGCTCTTGGATTACAGCATGGAGACTATGTCAGCAGCAATACTTTAGGATCCACGTGGCAGAACTGGGAACAATGCTACCGTCTGATAAGGGTATTTGTAAAAGGCAGAATGTTTGGGCCATGAAGAAGTAGGGGATGAAGAGGAAGGTGGAAGGAGATAAAATATAATATTCAGAGGCAATATTTTCTACTTGCAATCAATTTGAGTGACTTAGGTGAAATTTAGAGTCATGTTTCCAGAAGCAGAAGTTCAAAAAAAATTTAAACGTTTGCTTTATTATTTTCTTCTGGTAAATAATAAATATAACAGAAGTGTTAACTATTGTATTCCCATTCTTTTCTCCTTCCATCTCTTCTGCTATAATTCATCACATAGTATCTTAAAGGGAACAAATTATGTTTCATCCTATGGAAATGGGAAGGATGAATTGAGCTCCTGGCCCTTCTGATGCTTTGAAATGAAAGGATTGTTCCTTAGCGCTTCTCTGGAGAATCAGTGGAGATTTTCAGTTTCCCACCCTGCCTGGCTTTCTTGCTTGGCAACTCCCTTGGTGTTTTTGGAGTATTCTTTCTATAGGGGTACCTGTGAGGGGCAGAACACGTAAGCCACAGAACCTAGTGAAAACTAAGTGTCACTAGGAAAAGTAACGGGAAAAGTAAACCCTGCATAGATGAAAACTTCCTGGCAGCAAGTTTTCATATATAGAGAGACAATGGGAGACAGCATGCAGTTTTTATAGAAAAAAAGTTTCACATAATATAGTTATTGACAAGCTTTTGGTTTTGGCTAAATACACACACACACACGCATAGGTTTACTCTGTAAGTCTGATTTTATCGCTCTCAAACATATTTTAAAGGAAACTTGCTTACAGGATTAAACTTGAACTACTTATTGTATTCTTTAAGGCACTCCATTGCCTGGCCCCAATTTAATAACCCTGTCTCATCTCCCACAAATCCTTTATACTCCTCTTGATGAAACATCCCTGTGCACACCCTTGTGCCTTTGCTCACATTAACTCTTCCAAAAGACTTCCCTCCTGTTCCCCATTAATGAACGTCCTACCCAGTCTTCAACTCCCAGGTCAGGTCCTGTGTCCTCCATAAAAAACTTTCCAGACAACTTCAATCTGTTCTCCTTCCAAATTCCTAGAGGCCTTAATTATTCATTCTAGTCACTAGGTGCATAGAATTTGAGATTTTTGTAATGATAGAAGTAGTGTGAACTCTAGAAATTAGAAAATCAAGCTTTGGGTCAGGCACGGTGGCTCACACCTGTAATCCCAACACTATGGGAGGCCGAGGAGGACGGATCACCAGAGGTCAGGAGTTCGAGACCAGAGTGGTCAACATGGTGAAACCCCATCTCTACTGAAAATACAAAAATTAACTGGGCATGATGGCAGGTACCTGTAATCCCAGCTACTCGGGAGGCTGAAGCAGGAGAATTGCTTGAACTGGGGAGGCAGAGGATGCAGTGAGCCGAGATCGCGTCACTGTACTCCAGCCTGGGCAACAGAGTGATACTCCGTCTCAAAAAAAATAAATAAAAATAAAAAGTTTTGGTGCCTTTTCTCTCTCCTTTACCTGAGTGAATAATTGGCACCTGCCTTCTTTCTCCTTTTATGGTATCATAAGTGGCATGTATCAAACAAAACAGGGTAGAGGAGAATAGGTCTAATAGGGACAAACTTAAAAACAACATTATTTGGAAAGACAAGCCATGGGAAAGAAATATGGTGTTTCTATTTTTTAAAAAATATAATTTAGTATGTACAAAAGTATCCAAATTTAAGTATAGTTTTCAATGGCTGATAGTTTTGTTCTCATCCTTTAATTAGAAAACATCCTTGCATACAAAGCAGGATAGCTAAGAAAGGGCTGTAACAAACAAAACTTTAAGTGTCTAGCACATACTACATTTAAGAGGCTAAACTCTGATAGGACAAAGCACTTTAAACACAATTAAAAACTTAATGTAAATTAGTAGTTGAAATTCTAGGCCGGCGTGGTGGGTCATGCCTGTAATCCCAGCACTTTAGGAGGCCGAGGTGGGTGAATCACGTGAGGTCAGGAGTTCAAGACCAGCCTGACCAACATGGCGAAACCCCGTTTCTACTAAAAAAAAAAATACAAAATTAGCCAGGCATGGTAGCTCATGCCTGTAATCCCAACTACTTGGGAGCCTGAGGCAGGAGAATCGCCTAAACACGGGAGGCAGAGGTTGCAGTGAGCTGAGACTGTGCCATTGCACTCCAGCCTGGGCAACAAGAGCGAAACCTCATCTCAAAAAAAAAAAAAAAAATTCTAGAACACCCCTATGCATTTGTTTTATAGCCACCCTATTAATAAAGTCAGGAATTTCAAAATGTGCTGTAAGAGGGTTTTTATCTTAGATATACAAGAAGAAAAGATGATCCAATTTCATAGCTTATGGCCTCAATACACAGGTTTTGCCAAAAGAGGTGAAGCAGTTCACATTATGCTTTTTCTACCACCCAAGCCTAAAGATCTTAGTTGCAGATTTTAACTTGTTTTTCAAATGTAATCATAATTTATAACATTTATATGTTATATTTTTCTATTATTACCTTTCTAGAATTGACCACTGGCCATGAGTAATTACAAGTATCTTTTTTTTTTTTATTAATTTCTCCAAATTGATTGTATTTTGTCACCTGAATTCACCTTGTAGAAAATGGAAGGGGCTAACGTGTATATAATACTCATGTCAGACTTAAAAATAGGATCCCACTAGAATTGTTTTATTCTGGCTGCAAGTTAATAAGGTATTCAAGCTTCACTAAACAGTATTTGAAACAGGTAAAGTTTGCTATGTAGAACATCTTCACTGTTCATAGGGTCGTCGCCAGGTTTCTCAGGTACTTAAGACAGATGTGCATTAAATAAAGTCTCACCAAAAAAACCTTTAATCAATTTTATTCTTCATATTTGGGTAAGGGTACAGATTCTAGACCGTATCTGTGAAGTCATGGTGATATCACTGTGCTAAAGATCATGGCTATAGGTTGGCTGAGAATTTAAAATGCAAGAAAAATCAGAAGCAGCACATCATTGCTTCTTATTCCAGGACATACAGAGAGTTTCTTCAGTAAGTACCACTCCAGTTGTCTTCACAATTTAATGCAACGGAAACCTAAATGTTTCTACTTCATCTAAGAAATCATTCAATTGGCAGGCAAAACATTTTTATCACCTATTTATAAAAACATGAGAAAGGGAGGAAAAGTAATAGAATGTATAAACTCATGCTATCGTAATTCTAATGTCTAGCTATAAAGGCATATGGTTGTAACAATTGCTATCTAAAATTTGTATTAGCTGCAGTAGCTGCATTCCATTTTCATTACCATTTTATAAAGTCTTTTTGCTTGGTCATCTAAAGACGTTTTTCAACTTTCAAAAGATCAGCTATTATTGTCCTCTTTGTGTCTCTAAGGAATTAATAAAATGCACGTTTATTTCCTTCTTTCTAAATGTTCCAGTTAAAAACTAAATAATACAAAAATGGGAAACATTTTCTTAGACCATTTTTTTTTTCACTGTAACAACAAAAGATGTGCAAGGTAAATAGAACTCGTTTTGTTTTATTTTTTGTCTGTTTGTTTTTTAACAAGTCTGTCCAGAATAATACAGGTTACATAGCTGTAACCATCTTAAGGAAAATGACATTAAGTTTGCAACAGTTACCAGCTGGTGAAAACACGTTACTAGCATTTCAAAAATTTACAAAAATGTAACAAAATATCCTAAACAGCTATCTTTATATTTGTAAACGAAGTATAAACAACTGGCTTAACCAGTTTCCACTGCACATCAAACAGGTGGCAAAGTGATAGAGATCATCTTTGATTTTTAAAGGAGAATAATAAAAACTAATCTATATCCCACACATTGCAATTCTAGGGGATTAGGAACAGGCTAACACATGATGTCATCTACTTTAACAGCCTTTTCATTTACTTGTATGGTCTTGATACTTGACAATTTTTTTATTCCTGTAACAGTATTGTTGCTGTAAAAGCCATAATTTTTTTTATTTCCTTAAAGAAATCGTGTGATCCATTTCCCATTAGATTTCATAAACACACGTGAAACTTCAGATACAATAGGAGGGTGGTGGTTTTCTTTCAGTTTCTGAGGCCTTCTCTCTGAAACATCAGAGCTGATAATAGTTCAGCCTATACATGCATGCTGCCATAGATAATTGGGTGGTACGTGCACCTCCTATTTCAAAAACACAAGTAGAAAGTAGGTCTGGACAAGGGCAAACTGCAACTCAATTTCTGCTGTAACCCTATCTCAGGTAAGTTATGTTTATTCCTTCACTTTGCTGATATAGTCAGTCAGTCTGTTGATGCCTTCCTCCTGCTGTTCTAGGGCATCCAGGACAATGCCCATCGGTGTCCTCTTCAAACCTATTCCTTCCATTTTATTCTCCAGTTTGTTCTTGAGGTTCCGGAGTCTCAACGATGCATGGATAAACATCACTGCAGAGAAGTGACACCTGGTTAACACCAAAGCAATAATTCTCCTTTGTCACATCAATATTACACTCCCTCTCTTCACACTATTAGTAAACTGCCTTAGTTAGCTACAGTCCAGTCTGCTTCTCTAACTGATCCAAGCCTTCAAATGGCTCCTTGGACTTTATGTAAAGCTCTTCATCAAGTCATATACAGTTTTTTTTTTTTTTTTTCTTTTCCTGTATTAAAGGAAAATGCTGTATTCAACAGGAAGGACCATTATCTGGAAGCCATACCCTTTCCTTCATGCACTGACATCATCACCTTGCAGATGCTACTTAAATGTCCTGAAATTCAGAGTGAATCAATGGGATTCTATCCTACCAAAAAAATCAACTTACCTGAGGCTTTCCAGAAAATAACTCTTGCTCAATTCAGGGATTATCTGTATCTTGTTCCCTGCAGGAGCATGTGAGTAAAGGTCACTTGTAAAGTGCCTCCCAGAGGCTTTACCCAAAGTGTTGGGTATAGAATTCTAGATGTAAAAACCTAAGAGCTTTACAGAGTTTGTATAGCCCATTGTTCCCCAGACTTGCTTATTTTACCACAGATTCCCTGTCGCCTTTCCTGGACCTCCTCTACCTGAGCCTTAAAGAGACAGGCCTGGGAATCTGTATTTTAAACAGGTAACCCTCTCTCATATGATCTATACCAGTGGTTTTACAACTTCCATGTACATTCAAATCACCTGGAAAGCCTGTTAAATAGGCAAATTCCTGGTCACCACCACCCCAAATTCAGACTATTACAACTGAGGGAAGGCTCCAGAATGCATTATTTTAATAATGACTCCGGATGATTCCGATGTAGGTGGATCTTGGACCCTCATTTTGAAAAATACTGATGTGGACTCATCTGGAGGATCTAGAAAGAGTTGAGGAGCTTTCTAAAAACATAACATCGTTGGGTACCACTGTTGACCCACAAAATAAAGATGTGGCTGGGAAATTTATATTTTTAAAAAGTATCCTGGATGAGCCTCACAATTATCAGTTTGGGAATCACTTATTAGATAAGTGATTAGATTATTAGATTAGATAATCTCCTTACTTTAGAGATGAGTGAGCTACAGCCCATATAGGATGACTGGTCCAAATCACATGCTGGTTTCCAGCAAGTCTAAGAATAGAAATCAGGACTCTTAACTGTCTACCTCTGATACGTTTCATTACACTGGCCTGTCTCAGATTCTGATGTGGAAAGGTATTAAAATTAGCAAGCTGTTTGATTAAATAGTGTCATTGAAATACTAAGCCTATAGCACCTACAGAAAACCTGAAGAAAATTCCAAAAATGTTTGAATTTGTTGACTCAAATATTTTATCCAATAGGGTATGGGATGTATCCATAAATATTCTGGACTTAATCTAACAAAGCCCTAAACAAGCAAATAATTTCATTTAGTGGAATAAATGCACATGTCAAATGTTATTGAAAGTTAAAGGGATGTGCCTGTCACTTAATACACTAGAATTTTAATCAGATTTCTGCTGATTAGGCTGGGATTTTATTTCTTCTCTATTTCAGGCTTCAAGTGTTTGGACTCTTAGTAAATAATTCATGTAAAACTTAGAGAATATCTAGATCTCCTCACCAGAATCTGAGTATTTAGTACCTATATTCTGAGCCAGTTATTCCTATAGACTTACCAAACTTTGAACACTAGTTATGATCTCCTGAGCAAGTGGAGAATAAATAGTTTACTTCCAAATAATAAATACATTCATTTCTGTATCAGGACAATAGGAATGGCACTTAAAAATTGACAATAGACTCTCGTATTTGACAAATCTGGGGTCTAGTGTAGGTTATGCCACATTCCTGCTGTATGACCTGGGATTTGTCTTTGTTCTGTTTACTGTTTGTCCCCATAAGAATGTATGACAAATGGCTGGGCCAAGTGGCTCACGCCTGTAATCCCAGCACTTGGGGAGTCCGAGGCAGCTAGATCACTCGAGCTTGGGAGTTCAAGATCAGCCTGGGCATCATAGTGAAACCCCTGTCTCTACCAAAAACACAAAAAATTAGCTGGGTGTGCGCATGTGGTCCCAGCTATTCAGGAGGCAGAGGTTGCTGTAAGCCGAGATAACACCACAGCATGGGTGACAGAGTAGACCCCATCACAACAAAAACAAAAAAAGAATGACCTCATAGTTCTTGACCTCAGTTCTGTGTTATCTGGGTCTAGTTGGGTAACAAGTAGAAAGCTGTTTTAGAAAATTCTGACACTTTTGCTGACATGCCAACGCACATAAGAAACAGGTTATGGAATTCCCGTTGGATAATTGCACCTACATTTTTTTTATGATGGAAGAAAAAACTCAAGTTCACTTACACAGCAAAGGAAAAGTAATGCCAAACACAAAGACCATGACGCCTCCAAACATGGATATAAGGAAATAACTCGCCAACATGACCACCATAACGAACGTCGTGGGGTAGCGCTTCTTCAGCCGGCGAAGGGCGTCCTTATTGTGGGCTGCCCACACAAACCCTGTGAACACCAGCACCACCACGATTCCTCCCAGGATCATGTTGAAGGGACTCAGAAACCTGAAATATGAGGAAGAAAAAATGAGGGGTGACTAGTTCAGCAATAGAAGTAGCAAAAGGAGAAAGAGGAGTAAAAACAGTTATTGAGAACTTACTAATACTTTAATACTTTATCCGAATTGTCTCATTTGATTTCTCATAATCTTATAAAGGAGATACTACTAGTTCATTTCTCAAATGAAGAAACTAAGGCACAGAGGTTAGAAAATGGTGGGGAAGTCCAGGAATGGTAGTTCACACCTGTAATCCCAGCACTTTGGGAGGCCGAGGTGGGAGGATCACTTGACGCCAGGAGTTCAAGACCAACCCAGGCAATACGGCAAAACCCCATCTCTACAAAAATATGAAAATTAGCCAGGTGTGGTGGCACACACCTGTGCTCCCAGCTACTCAGGAGGCTGAGGTGGGAGGATCGCTTGACCCTCGGAAGTTGAGGCTGCAATGAGCCAAGATTCCACCACTGCACTCCAGACTGGGTGACAGAGTGAGACCTTGTCTCAAAAAAAAAAAAAAAAAAAAAAAAAAGATGGAACTGAGATCACACCCAGGCAGTTCCCATCAAAGTAGTCCCTATCTCATTAGAGGTCCACAATTTTGAAGACTAAAACTTCTTTTGAAGGTACTATGTTTAGCTTCCATACATCCTGGGCTCTAGTACACAGTAGGTTGTGTTTTCTTAGCTCTAAGGGTTTATTTAAATCCTCATAGAAGCTCATGATGGATGAATGTAGAATGCAGGCCACATAATGGCCTCCTTGGGCTACATCCAGTCTACAGTCACATTTTTGTTTGGCCTGTACAGTGTTTGAAAAAACTTTTACTTGAAACCCATGTATTTAAAAAAAAAAAAATCCATAAAACTTGGGATTTCTTGTTCTCCTGGAACAAGAAAATCTAACAGTGCTAGGCCCACTTTCCCACATGTCAACAGCTGGCTTGAGTGCCTGCTCATTCAGGCAGAACAAACGCTCTCCATTGAGCCCCAGTCCACACTGGTCTCTACTGCATCATGCACACAGAGGCCCACAGTGAGGTGCTATTAATCATTGTTTTTCTTTTCCTTTTTTGTCATTTGAGACAGAGTCTCGTTCTGCTGCCCAGGCTGGAGGGCAGTGGTGCGATCTTGGCTCACTGCAACCTCCGTCTCCCGGGTTCAAGCAATTCTTGTGCCTTCGCCTCCCGAGTAACTGGGATTACAGGCACATGCCACCATGCCCAGCTAATTTTTTGTATTTTCAGTACAGGTGGGTTTTTGCCATGTTGGCCAGGCCAGTCTCGAACTCCTAACATCAAGTAATCCACCCACCTTGGCCTCCCAAAGTGCTAGGATTATAGGCATGAGTCACACCATGCCAAGTCTAATCACTGTTTTTCTAATAGCTGGCCTGAATCGCTCTCTTACATAATCTGCTTGCCCCATGGAGGCATTTGAGTTTATGATTCCTCACATAGAGAGTTCATTATAAGTGTTTTTAAATGCCCAAAGTATCATTAGGAGATGAGTTATCAATGCAGATTTTCAAGCACACAGTTCCAGATTCATTCTTATATAAGCCAAATGTTTAGTATGTGATAGCAATTACACTACTATTGATAATGGAGGAAACACATTATGTAGAAGAAATTTATGCCGGGCATGGTGGCACACACCTGTAATCCTAGCACTTTGGGAGGCCTAGGCAGGTGGATCACCTGAGGTCAAGAGTTCAAGGCCAGCCTGGTCAACATGGTGAACCCTCGTCTCTACTAAAAATACAAAAATTAGCTGGGCACGGTGGTACATGCCTGTAATCCCAGCTACTTGGGAGGCTGAGGCAGGAGAATCGCTTGAACTCAGAAGGCGGAGGTTGCAGTGAGCTGAGATCGCACCATTGCACTCCAGCCTGGGCAACAAGAGGGAAACTCTCTCAAAATAATAAGAAGAAGAAGAAGAAGAAAAAATTTAGATGAAGTTTTGGGCATTATAGTCGCCCACCCCAAGCCACTGTGTATACAAAACCCTTAACAAGACATCTGTGGTGGGCTGGTACAATGAGTTATTTAACTTTTTACCCTAGAGGCTAATGAGGATTTTACTTGGGAAGGACACAGAGGGTAGTGTGTTTTCCTCATGCCCTGAATAGTAACATTGCTGATTTGAAAAGAGGGATGGGGGAAGACAGGATAAGGGAAGGTGATGCCAAGAGCTTACTTTCTCTGAAATGGAAGAGATGAAGAACTCATGCTCATACTGGGATTCATATTCAGGATAAACAATTCTTTTTCAAAAATTCCTTTAAATTTTAGCTCTCTGTTTCTGCCTACTGAAGCATAAAAGGAATTTTGAACATTTTTAAATTAAGAGTGAAAGCTTTTCACACCTGAATGGGTGAAATTAAGGGATAAAATCAATGTCAAACTGCTTTGAAAAAGCTAAAAATTTCTATTAAGATGCACAAAGTTAAACAATGGCAAGAGCAGTTGCAATTTTTTTTTTTTTTTTTTTTTTTTGAGATGGAGTTTCACTCGTCACCCAGGCTGGAGTATAATGGCACAATCTCGGCTCACTGCAACCTCTGCCTCCCAGGTTCAAGCAATTCTCCTGCCTCAGCCTCCCAAGTAGCTGGGATTACAGGCACCCGCCAACACGCCCAGCTAATGTTTGTATTTTTAGTAATGATAGGGTTTCACCATGTTGGCCAGGCTGGTCTCGAACTCCTGACCTCATGTGATCCAACCCCCTCAGCCTCCCAAAGTGCTAAGATTACAGGCATGAGCCACCGTGCCCAGCCAGTTGTACATAATTTAAAACTAAACTCTACAATAATAAGTTGCTTATTTCATTCAAAATCCTTGCAAATACACCCTTCAAGCCAATAAATCCCCTCCTCAGAATATAGTCTAAAGAATTAAACAAAAATGCAAAGATTGAGCTGTAACAGTGTTGGTATTAGTGGTATTTATGATCAAAAACTTTCAGAAACAACCTATATGGCCAACAATTTACTGTGGTATTGTATACACAGCTATTTTTAAAACATTGAAGTGCATTTAATAATATGGGAAGACATTATATGTTGAGTGGGTAAAAGCAACTGTAATACATAATGCATTCTCTGTTAGGTGGATTTATCATACAAGTTAGATAGTTCAGAAGTAGAAATTTCTAGGCTGAGCGCAGTGGCTTAAGCCTGTAATCCCAGCACTTTGGGGGGCCGAGGTGGGTGGATCTTTTGAGGTCAGGAGTTCGAGACCAGCCTGGCCAACATGGTGAAACCCCACCTCTAGTAAAAAATAAGAGTGAATGGTGAAACCCCACCTCTAGTAAAAAATACAAAAATTAGCTGGGCCTGGGTTGGGCGCAGTGGCTCATGCCTGTAATCCCAGCACTTTGGGAGGCTGAGGCGGGCACATCACCGGAGGTCAGGGGTTCAAGACCAGCCTGGCCAAGATGGTGAAACCCCGTCTCTACTAAAAATACAAAAAATTAGTTGGGCTTGATGGTGGGAGCCTGTAATCTCAGCTACTCGGAAGCTGAGGCAGGAGAATTGCTTGAACCCGGGAGGCAGAGGTTGTAGTGAGCCGAGATGGTGCCATTGCACTCTAGCCTGGGCAACAAGAGCAAAACTCCATCTCGGAAAAAAAAAAAAAAATTAGCCAGGCATGGTGGTGGGCACCTGTAGTCCCAGTTACTTGGGAGGCTGAGGCAGGAGAATCACTTGAACCCAGGAGGCAGAGGGTGCAGGGAGCCAAGATTGCACCACTGCACTCCAGCCTGGGTGACAGAGTGAGACTCTATCTCCAAAAAAAAAAAAAAAAAAGAAGAAGTAGAAATTTCTATAATTAGTATATTATTTCATAATCAGAAATGAATATATAAAAAAAGGAAATACAAAAATATAAAAGCAGCTGCTCTCCAACCCACAACCCCCGCTTGGCACAGGCCAACCACAAAAGTCCATCTCTACTTGTCCCATCTTGCCAACAACATTAATGGAATTTCAATTGATGAACCACAGCAAAACTGTTCCTTCTCCAATCCAAACCCTGGTTTTCTGCTCATCCTCCAGATCCTCTTGTGCCAGTCTGTAGCACCCCAGTGCCCCAAGCTTCCCCAATACCCAGCACATGTGCCATTCTGTCTGCCCGATTCCCCCCTCCTCTTGGTTCTGTGTTATCTGGGTCTATCTACTTGGCCTCTCTGCACTTTTCTTTCTTCCTATTTGATTTTATCTGGATTATTCCCTGTCTTCTGAGATAACCCCAGAATTGGTCTGGGAAAGACAAAAATTTCCTTATACGACTGAGGAAGGAAAGAATCTAATGAGTCAAAACCACAATCCCCTTCAGCAGGTTGTAGAGAGTGGAGAGTGAATAAAGAGGCCTTGAAACTCTTAGAGATTAATATAACTAATTCCCAGACCACAAAAGATTCTAGGCCAGTGTGGTAGCTCACGTCTGTAATCCCAGCACTCTGGGAAGCCGAGGTGGCAGATGGATTGCTTGAGCCCAGGAGTTTGATACTATCCTAGGCAACAGGGCAAAACCCTATCTCTCCAAATAAATAAATAAATAAATAATAACACCCCACAAAAATTAGCCAAGTGTGGTGGCACACACCTATAGTCCCCACTACTTGGTAAGCTGAGGTAGGAGGATCACCTGAGCTCAGGAGGTCAAGGCTGCAGTGAGCTGTGATTGTGCCACTACACTGTAGCCTGGGTAACAGAGTGAGATCCTGTCTCAATTAAAAAATACAAAGATACTTAGAGAAATTGAGAAATTGTACCAAAGACTACATTATAGTAGGATAAGGGGAGTTTATTTCCATTTGCTTATTTTTATTTTCATATTTTTTTCAATGGCTATGTATTCCTTGATGAATAAAAAAAAAAAACCCTGATATTTAAAAATGAACAAATGGAATTGGGGAAAGGCTCCTGAATGTAAAAAACCCTTTTATAAATCCTTGACATTGACCTATAACCTACCCAAATGTTTCTTCTGAGCCATAAAGAAAA